GGCCTGGCCCCGCTCCGCTCGCTCCGGGGAAGTTACCTTCCAGGCATGGCTGTCGCAAGTCGCTGGCTGAAGCAGCTATTGCTGCTGGGCAAAACATTTCACGTTTATTTTAGTGCTTTACATAAATTAGTAGAAACAGGTTCCAGCGGAAGGCAGTCAAGGGTTTGCGAGCTGCTCTGTTAGCAAACGTTCCCAGCAGGCGCTGTTAATGCAGTGGTGTTTCAGAATCGAGGCGAAAGCTTCCCTTTTTACAGGTGTTCTTATAGTCCCCAAACTTGGTGTTTTAAGAGTCCATTGGCTCCAAAGAAAGCTGAACAGGGAGAATCCATAAGGTGAAGAGGCTCCAAATGCCCTGGCTGAGGGCATGGGGGCACCAAAGCTTTGCCCGCTGCCCCACGGCGCTGGGGGAACAGGGAGCAGGGCCCTTCTGATCACACCTAATACTGATAGTGCAGCTCTTAATAAACCCAACGTCAGCACTCAAATAGAAACAGTCAGAAAATTTGTGGTTTCTCCTAGAAACCACACTTCTGGCGCTTTTTTTTTTTTATTTTGATCAACGACTTCTGCTTTAGAAGAGTGGCCTCCTGTTGAGCTCTTAGTCGAAGCTTGAGATTTGCTGCCGAAGATGCGACAGACCCCGGCACCTCCGTTCCGCAGGTAACACACAGGTGACCCGTGATCCAGAATATTCCTGCTTGTGCTGGGGTAATTGTTACCAAACAAAGAACATCTTCATATACTGGTTGGTTTTATCATGTCACTGGAGATGGAACCTAATTCCTTGGTAGGTTTACACATCTAAGGGCCTTGTTTGCTTGTTTTGGAGCATTCAGAAAACTTGTAAAATGTCTAGCTGTTGCCTTTCAGCGCAGCGGAACCGCGGGGCTCGTGTCCCGCGTGGTTTACACCTCACTCGTGAGCTGCTCTCTGCGCAACCTCTGCTCCTCTGCTCCGAATCAGCGCCGGGTGTGTGTGCAACAGTTGCGGTGCTATTAAAGTAATTTTATGTGCTAATTTGTGTAATCATTAGAGGGTTGAGGAGGTCATTGTTCACCCCCGTAATTATTTCTGTGTTTTAATAGTGCTCATTCATCCCTTAAGCTAGTTCTGTGTTTGTGCGAGTTGGCCACGGAGCCGTGCTTCAGGCGCAGGGTTTTCCAGGCTCCCGTTTCCCACGTGAGCCGAGGGCTGCCCGAGCAGCGGGGCGGGAAGCTGCAGCCACGCGCAGGGCTTTT